AAAAAAAAAAAAAAAAAATTACCTTGTTGGAGAAGAATCCTTTGCCGAGGCCGTAGAATTTTTTCGACATTTTTTTGGATTTTTTTTTATGCTCGAATCGTTCGTTGAAGTTCGGAAGTTTAGAGAGATAGAAAGTTTAGAGAGATGAAATCAAAAAAAGGGTTAAGGGCAAAAGAGTAATTGAGGGGGCGGTGACTAGTAAAAAGGGACGGTGAATAGCGATTGAGAATTTGTATGGCTATTTATAAAAAAAAAACAAAAAAAAAAATATAGTTGAATGATAAATCACTAAAATCGCAATAATTCAAATGACCTATAAATCATGTCGAATCGGCTCGACCATCAGCTACCCGCCCGACTTAGCTCGAAATTCGAATATACCCTTATTGGGCAGCCCATTATCGGATCTAGTTCGTTATATCCAAACTTGACCCGACCCGACCACTGATTTTACTCCGCCAAAAAAAGAAAAGGATATCAGCTGCGTCTGTAACAGTCGAAGCTCCTACCTCCACCGCACGGCCGCCGTCTTCCCGTCCATCCCACTGACTCCCGAGCGGCGGCGAAGTTATTTCAGTTAGAAGACAACTCCCTAACTTATCCGGACGGGATATTCGTTGCTATAGGCGAACACTAATCTAGGAATGCCAGGGGCAACGATGGAATCCGAGCTGCCCGTGGAGCCACAGTCGCTGAAGAAGCTGAGCTTCAAATCCTTGAAGAGAGCTCTCGATCTATTCTCTCCTACCCACGGACAATTGCCGCCGCCTGATCCGGAAAGGTTTTTTTTGAAGCCCTAAAACTCAAGCGTTCTAGAGTGTTCAAATGATTTTTAGCTGTAATGATTCGAATTCCTCTTTTCCAGTTTCAGTAGGTGATTCAGTAGTCACATTATGTCCTAGTTAGCCCTTATTTTGATTGATTGTTTTGTTTCTTGTTTGGTTTGCAGTAAGAAGATTCGAGTAAGTCATAAGGTGAGTTCTAACTATTGCATTATAATTTTTGTACGANATCATTAATTTTTTGTAGCTTAATCTGGGATTTTAGTCGAAGAGAAGGGTGTTGAATCAATGTTTTGCGTGATTATGCACAATGCTGCACTTGGGTTTCACCTTTTCATTTGTGTGAGTAATTTGTGTTTGAGATTAAAGAAACGACATGTTGAGGCAGCTTAATGCATCGCCCAGGCTACTGAAACTCTTAATTTTTCACTTGCTGTTTGGTACAGTCGTTCTTTAAGCAAATACTGGCTAGTTATAATTTCTTAAATATCAATGTTATTTTTGGGTTGATTGTTTAGCTAAATGGTGAGTATGGATGTGTGAAAAACGTGGCAACCGAAAGTTCTGCTCGTATGGCAGCTGCAAAAAGTCAAGCAAAGCAGACTTCTACCACCTCAAATGTCTTAGCACTTCCAGGTATTGCAACTTGCAAGATACCTAAACTTAAATACCGTGTTTATGTTCAAAATTTAATTCCCTTACTCTGAATTGGTGAAGATTCGAGTAGTATATTTTCCATCACCATCACTAGGTATCCAGTGTACTGAGTTATAGAATTGAGGATGACATGCATATGAACTCAATATCCAAAGGATATGTTACATATCGTGTTAGACATAATAAGCACCTCAATTCTTATTCCCACTCGGTTGATACTTGATAACGCATATGTGGATAATTTTTCCTTGGGCAGGCCCTGAACATTCAAATAATATGCAGAAGGGAGGGTTGCAGAAGGATTTGGTGATTAGTTCAACCGGGCAGTCTAAGGGGCGGTGTGTGTTACATTTTACCAGTTTTTTTCTCTGGATGTTATATATTTCTTGTAGTTGACATCTGATACTATTCTCCTTTTTGGGGGAGGTAATCATACATATATGAGTATAGAAGATCAACCCATTATTAACACAATTTTGGGTTTCATAATGTTAAAGATCTGACTAGTAAATCACAAAATGCAGCAGCATAGGTCTTGTTTTTTGTTTTTTCAAGGTGTGAAAACTTATGCGTTTCTGTAAAATTTGGTGCAGCACCGACGATGGGGTTCAAGGAAGGAGCACTTCAATTGTTCCAGCCCCTGTTTCATCTGGAAGGTGTTCTATTCGACACTTAATTTGTTTCTTTATGGAACTCATATGTTTGCAGATCTAGTGGACAGTTATTTTCCGTGTAGGCTAATCTGTATAACACTTTCTCTTATCTGCCTTTAGTAAAAGGGAGAACTAGCTACCGACGAAACTTTATTCAATTATTTTTAAAAAATGTTCTCACTAATTCTCTAACATATTAAACGCGGTACCACCTCTTCTTTCATTTTTTGTCAGTTATCTTTTCGTCTTTCCATATCTTATTATTCCTCTTCAATATCAAGAGCTAGATGTAGCATGGATAATGATTGATGTTTGACAGCTTTTAGTTACAGCACTTATGGAGATTTTGACCTCTGCCATGTTAAGATATTTTTTATTTTGTTTATGATGCTCAGGAATCTGTCTACTTCTGCCATTATGGAGAGAATTCCAAATAGATGGCCTCGTCCTGTATGGCATGCACCTTGGAAGAATTATAGAGTGAGAAACTTCCCTAACATTTTTGAAAAAAAAAATATCTGGAGCTTAAACCATGATGAATTTCTGGATGTATGCATTTTCGTGTATGAACACTAAGTACTGTTGCTTCTGTAATCTTAGTTATGTGGACTGCATTGACCTTTGTATCACTATGTCGGTATCTCCTTGTATTTCACGTGGTTTTGCATCATCATATTTTTGGGATTTCGAGTATCAATGCAAGGATGTCCAATATGTCCATACTCCATTGACAAATTTACCCCGATTTGCTATCCAGCTAAGTCATAAAGCGGAATACCGAATTGACTTCTATATTATGGGTTATGAGAAAAGTAGGATATTTCCCAATGCATTATTTTTTTACGTGTAATGTATGCTAATGTTTTTTCATCCCCTCAAGCTCTTGTGATACTTGTGCGGCCTTAATTCTGTTCTTATATTGCAAGCACTTACCTGTGTAGGTCATTAGTGGCCATTTGGGCTGGGTGCGGTCGGTTGCTGTTGACCCAAGTAATAATTGGTTTTGCACAGGATCTGCTGATCGAACAATAAAGGTTTGAAATTAAGTTTGTTTTCTTCAAAACATTCACGGTAAAAGTAGCCATGGAAATGGTACTATTTAGACACGATCAACCTACTGTACTCATCCACAGAGGTCATGTAATATGTGAATATTGTTTTAGCGGACTACGAATTTGTCGATGCCCAAATTTATCGTAAGATAATAAAATGACCTTGGCTCTACAAGTCAATAAAATCTTTTCCTGTGTTTCACTAATTTGTGTCGGTTTCGCTTGGTTTCCCTTTTATTTCTGTGTTCTAACTCCAGTCTTCTGGTGGTTAGATATGGGACTTAGCAAGTGGCCGCCTGAAACTGACACTTACTGGTCACATTGACCAAGTACGAGGTAATTCATTCTTTCTTTCTTTCTTTATTCCCAGGAAAATACACATTTCTCAATCGTCTGACGAAAGAAATAATTATTTCCGGCAGGCCTAGCTATTAGCAGCAAGCACACATACATGTTTTCTGCCGGTGATGACAAATTAGTAAAATGTTGGGACCTAGAGCAGAATAAGGTTAGTATCTCAAATGAACAGCTGTTTCATCTGAGACAAGTCCGAGTTTTGATAATGTCGTTCCTTCCATTTTCAGGTTATTCGTTCTTATCATGGTCATCTTAGTGGTGTGTATTGCTTGGCTCTTCATCCCACTATTGACATTTTGTTTACTGGAGGACGAGATTCCGTATGTCGGGTATGGATCATTGTTTTGATTTTCTGTTCTTTTGTGTGTGTGTGTGCTTTCGAGCATTGAAGAAGCCTATGAAGTTTTAGATAGAATACTAAGTTGGTTTGCCTGATGATATTTTTTAAGGTGTGGGATATTCGCAGCAAAATGCAAATTCATGCGCTTTCTGGACACGAGAGTACAGTCTGTTCAGTCTTCACAAGGCCTACGGTGAGTGCTTATTTAAGCTCTGAAGCATTATATCTAATAACTGAATATATCCCTGTTTACATCAACCCTGTCTACCTCTTCCTCTGGTCCTTCTGGGATGACTTATGGTTGACTTGGACAATAAATTTATGGTTTTAGTCTTCTAGAGCATGGGGAATTTTTAAGATTTAATACATCACTTCTTGTGAAGTTTGTCCTGTAAGTTTATAACATGCATTGGCTAGTTCAGTAATTTGTCTTTATGATCAAGTTCATTTGCCAAAATAATAAATATTCAGTGAATAGCTTTAATTCTATATTCAGTAAATTGTCCATGCACTTTGGTATTTGAGCAGTATTTATTTGTTGGTATTATTTTCCGTTAATTTATATGGTTTGATTTATTGGATGGTGAAAACGGTGTGGCAGTGATGGTAAGAACTTCTAATCCCACCTCTATGAGACCCTTTTCTTTGTGAGGGGTTCAAGGAATAACGATTTCTCACGTATATCTAAGCTTCACCACGGANCCTTAACTTTGCAACCGTGCTGTTTCCCTGCCATCTTAATACATTATGGTTCCACCTTGTGTTATGAGAATCCTTTTTGTTTCTCAATCGTTGGATTAATTATAACAACTCCAAACCTGACCTGAGCTTACTTAGATTTTTCAAAATTATAAGCTGTTTTGATAGTTTCTCTCTGTCAGACTTAGTGACATGATCACAATTTGCAGGATCCCCAAGTCATAACAGGTTCTCATGATTCGACTATAAAGTTATGGGACCTTCGATACGGTAATATTTTTTGGGGAGGAAAATCTTCCTCTTGGTTTTTGTATATTGGTCTTTCTTAATTATGGTAATGTTTTATTTTTTCTCTCTCTTTAATTTAAATAATAAAGTGGAGGTGATTGTATTTGGCAGGGAAAACAATGGTAACTCTCACACATCATAAGAAATCTGTGCGGGCCATGGCTCTTCATCCTAAGGAGTAAGCATTTTCGTTTTCTGCGATATCAGTTTACACTTTCTATCATCTCTATTTCATACTTTAATTGCTTACCTGAACCTTCTTGTGTGCCTTTGCAGGGACTGTTTTGTATCTGCATCTGCTGAGAATATTAAAAAGTTTAAACTTCCAAAGGGAGAATTCATGCACAATATGCTGTGAGTCGTCACTATCGAAATTGTGCTTCCCCATTAATAACACGTTATATTAAACTATTGCCCACATGGGGATTTTGTTTTTACCAATCCCCATTGATATTACACTATATGAAACATACTATATGCACAATTCCACTTTTCTTCATCTGCTAAAGTGCACGAAATAGAAAAGTAGGATCTGATTTGATTTTTCCCATTTTACAGCTCCCAACAGAAAACTATTATTAACTCTGCAGCAGTCAACGAGGAGGGTGTACTTGCCACTGCAGGTCGGTTTCTTTTCTATTGCAAACTTAGGGGTGTATTCATTTGGGATTTCGATTGACATTTTGAGACTTTTTGTGATTTGGGTGGGACTTTTTAAGATTTTCAGATTATGGAGGTGGGATTTGGAGTAGGATTTCGTATATCGGTATATGGTTTTATCTTTTGAAATCTCAACAAATCTTAGAAAGTCTTAATAAAGCATAGTTTCAAATAAATTAAATACCTTAGGATTTTGTAAGACTTTCTAAAATCTCAAATGAGTACCTCATCGAGACTTTTAAAAGTCCTAAAAAGTGAAAAGTCTAAATCAATACACTCGAATTTCTAAACTCTTAAAAAGTCTTTAGAAATCCCAAACGAATTCACCCCCCTAGTAATGAATGTTTTAGAAAAACGACACGATTATAATATCTCGTTAACTTCTATTTAAATTTACGTTAGGTGACAATGGAAGTTTGTGGTTCTGGGACTGGACGAGCGGTCACAATTTCCAGCAAGCCCAGACAATCGTACAGCCCGGTAACACATATCAATATCTTCGTTTTCTCTGTAGTCTTTTCAAAGCAGAATCAATCAGCAGTAGTTTGACACGATCTTTCTGTATTTTTTATTTTATTTTTGCTAGGGTCGTTGGATAGTGAATCCGGTATTTACGCGATTACGTATGATATAACTGGTTCGAGGCTGATTACTTGTGAGGCGGATAAGACGATCAAAATGTGGAAAGAGGATGAGATGGCGACACCAGAGACTCATCCCCTTCATTTTAAGCCACCCAAAGACATGCGGCGCTTTTAACCGTACTGCAAGAGTATCACATTTGTTATATCACAGTAAAAATAAATTTACTTGCTCAAGAGTTCTAAATGTACTGACAAGTGTAATTCAGTATCGTTTTCTGCTACTTCCATATGAGACTGGTAGTCTGTGTTATATTTGTTTTTACTTCTACGGACGAGAGTGAAAACTGGAGAATGTGATTTTTGTTACAATTTTCTTTTACTGGTAAGTTTTACTGTTGGAATATGCTGGTGTTATTGGCAACTGTATAATGTGTCCCCTAAAAGTTATTTTAAATTAGAAATCTTAGTATTAAACAACAAAATAGTGATATCATATTTAGAAATTATGTCTCATTTCATTGGATTAAGAGAATATCTCAATACTTTAAAATTATGTTTTTCATTAAATGAAGAGAAAAAAAAAAGGTTTTGGGATTTGGCAATTGGAAGGAAAATTTACGAATTAGAAATGGAAAAAGAATAGCAGTAAAGTTAAACAATTCATGGTGAAAGACAAGAGACGACAAGAAAAAAAAAAATGAAACAATTAAGGGCCCAACCGGGTTCGAACCGGTGACCTATTGATCTGCAGTCAATTGCTCTACCACTGAGCTATAGACCCTTTTGTTTATTAGCTCTATTTATTTATTACTAATACGTAACCTTAAAACAAATGATGGAAATAATAAAAGAGAGAACAAGGTAATGTACTAATGTGCTTATGCTGATCAAATGTTGCAACTAATTTTTGTCAAAAACAGTACAAAATTCTTCTAATCATCCAAAATCTATAGTACAAAATGAAAATCTCAGTTCACAATATTCATTATTATCTCAATGGAGAAACAAAAAGCACAAAAAGCCCCCTTATTATTTCCACGAGCGTTTTACAATTGNCATGTAAGAATCACATACAAATCATTCAAAAATATCCCACGAGTAAAAACGCTCTTTCCAGAAACGAACGACATATATCTTTTCACCTTCAGTTTGAAACCCATATGCTTCGGCACTTGTTCTCTATAGCCGCCCAAAATCGGCAAAACCTCCTACACCACCATTCTTCAACAATTTCACTTTTTGAAACCCATTATGAAGACAGAGAACCTTTTTAGACATGAAATCAAAGTTGGGTTTTTGAATGTTTTGGAGACAGAGGAGATAGTGAGGGTGGAAAAATAAAAGAAAAGAAAATAAAAATGATGTTAAAAAGGTTGTCTGAGCCCGGGTTCGAACCGGGGACCTCTAGTGTGTGAGACTAGCGTGATAACCAACTACACCACCCAGACTTGTTGTTACAACAACTGATTATGATACTCATGTTAAAAAAAACATAAAACAACTACTTGAACATTTTGAAATGTATGAGATTAAAATTATATATATATTTTATTACAGAATTATGACAGTTACTAGGATAACCAAACATTGATTTTTTAGGCTGGTGGATAGCAGCTCTTGTCATGTGATATAATGAACACTATGCTAAGAAAGACATAACTGACTGATATAAGAAGAATTGGATTTACTTTAATCCAAGACTTTTGGCTCTAATTATTTCTTAAGAACACGAGTTGCCAACACCATAATAAGATATGCTATCTTATTACAATTGCGTTCCTAGACTTCATGCATAAAATAAGATTTTCGTTCAATCCCAGCAGTCACTGTTTATGTAAAGGTTTTTAACCGTTTGATCAACACACATGTGGAATGTTTGTGATCCACTTTTAAAACCAATGATTTTACGTTTGTTATTTTCATGGGTACATACACATTTGCTAATGCAACTCTAAAATAGTTATGTTCCAGCCGTTAGATTGATAATCTTCATTGTTTCTGCTATTTCAAAAGCATCTTTTGGAAATGCAGTGTTGAACTTCTTGCAGTGAAACTTTGAAGACCATAAATTATAGATCATGATACGTTTCTTGTTCTTATATTTGTTCAGCTTCTCATGAGCAGTTTGTAAAAAATATGTCTCAATTGCACNCCACCACTTTTTTCAGACAGCCATCAAACAATCATCCCAAAGGATAAATCCCCCCAGTCTCTGTCTAAAGTATTACCAAAGATACAAAAATAACAACCCAAAATAAAATTAAAAAAAAAAAAAATGAAAAAACACATTTTGATCTCCAGGTGAAGCTCAGATAGCAACACACTTGCAGCTTATCACATCACAATCAGAACCCAATTTCCCCACAGAACAACTCACCAAAACACCATCCACACAAGATCCCACACTCCCAACATCGAACATCACCGTACTAAGTCCCTTCCCTATAACAAAAATCTTCCTCCCGATTCCCACTAGCCGACATGGCGGGAAAACGAGGTGGGTTGATATTCTCCTCACGGCCATCCATTCCCGAACATCCTCCTGCCACATCATCAGCCTCAAACCTGACACCTGGTCCAAAACGTACAACCTCCCGTCGATCACGACAGCTGGACCCCGCCAGCCAGATGCCACGTCATCATCCCCATGTTGCCAGATTCCGCTCGAAGGATCATAAACAACTGCATAAACGTGAGAATCTACAGATGATATACCACACCGTATGTAGATCTTCCTATCCAAAAGCACAGAATCTTCAATATCCAGAATAACATTCGGGTCCACGTGAGATGACCACTTGTCTTTGGAGCTGTCATAAACATCCCACGAACGAGGGTCGCTTAATTTTGACCCGAGCCCGCCAATTGCGTAGATTTTGTTGTCCAAAGCTTCGTACGCGAAAAAACACCTAAAAATCGGTAAATACTATCATTAATTGGGTAAAAGGACGTGGAAATAAACAAATGCTGTACTTGCCTAAAGGCTACATTGAAAAGAAAAAAAAAAAGTGACGGATTCGTGTAGCGTAAAAGCTGTAAAGATAAGTTTAAGAATAAAAGTGAAAGTAACGGGTGCTTGAAATTCAAGTGGAAGGAGCTCTAGCTATACCACAAGCTCAATCTAAAAATGAAGTGAAATCCACGTTCGGTTCTCACAATGAGTCAAGAATGTGATGGGCCTCATTTGGATGAGTGGATGAAAATAGTGATATATACGATAAAGGTTACACAAACTCAAAATTCTCAACCGTGAGTAGTTAAAAGATCTCTAAGGACGGGTTCTGCTAAAAATTAAAACTCACTTTCATTTCTTTCTCCTATCAGAAGGGTCAATTCATCATATATTGATTGGAAATGATATCTTGCAAAAGAAACAAAAGTCAGTTGAGAACCCAAAAATAGAAAATTGAAGTTGTTTAGGTAGATTAAGCTGTAGAAGCTCTTAATATGTCAAAAACAGATGCATAACAGAGTAAAAAAATGTCCATTTTCCAAGATCATGATCAAATTATAAAGAAACTGGATAAACTAGCATATGAAAACAATACATATATTTGCAAGTGATTAGGAATGTATGCATATATCTAGTTATCAGCTATCAGATTCTTCAAGAAGCCACTAAACCAAATCCATCGCTACACATTCCCAGCATTGAAAAAAAAAAAATTACCTAGCAGTTGATAATGAAGCAGCTCTCATCCACGTATTAGCCGAGGCATCATAACAGTACACTTCATCAGTAGCATCCTCAATCCATCCACACCCTCCGAACAAGTAAACCTTTCTTCCCAATACTTCAAATCCTACACCTTTTCTCTTCAAGAAACTACTCGGGAGGCCTTGAATTTGCTTCCAACCTTTTTTCAATTGCTTGGGGTCCAACACATACATGCAAAGCTGCTCGGACTTATCCCTGCATAGAGCATAAATCCAAGTCTCGTCCAAATTATGCTTCAGCCGGTAAGAAAACCATTCTTCACTGCACAGTAATTCTCTCCACCTCCTCGAAACACAATTGAGAATCGTATGATACTTTCTAGGAACTCTTGCTAAGCAAGAAAGGGCAATATCGTCCGGGATTCCCGGTATCAAAACGGGTTTTCCAGGTTGAATATCACAATCTGTATTCGGCTCATCGTCAACCGAAAGCAGTTTTTCTTGATTCAGTCTATACGGCCCACTTTCCTCGGATTCCATAATTTGGCCAATAGCAGCTGTTACATTTCACATTATAGGAAAAAAAAAAAAAGTAAAGGGTAATAAGCACCTGCTAGAGTACATAAACACAGGAAATATTACACCAACTTTGCAATGGAACATCAAATTTCAAATGATAGCTGAACTTATCACTCAAAGCAATGTGTAACTAATTAAACAAATTAAAACATTCAGAGAGGCAACAAGCACACTTTCAATCTATCGGGAATCAAACGTTAATGGCATCACAAATGCAGCACTGAAAATCTAGGGAAGAGTCGGAAAACCTGAATCAGACGTATTCACACAGAAATCACATCGGAGCGCACAGATCAAAGAGAAATGTACAGTTTTGTACAAAATCTGACATCAAAAGAAGCACATTTGGGAATCATTTTAGGTTGATCGAGGCAAACGACTCGAATTCACCTCCTCTATGAATTGGGTTTGGAGAGGTTCNNNAGGGAAAGCGAAGGTCTGATGTGAATTCTGATGTACGATTTCTTTTGAGTTTTGGGGATTGATTTTCAATTTTGTGATGTTTACAAAAAGTAACCTTGGTTTTGAGATAATTACAACACAACCCACATACGTATCTCATTTGGAATTTTGAACAAACTTTTTAAGATTCTTTTTATTAGTGGATTATTATATATGTATTTTTTTTTTAAAAAAAGTCTTACCAAATCTAAACAAATAAGTTAAACACTTCAAGATTTTATAAGAATTTTTAAAATCTCAAATGAATATCTCTAAATTTTAAAATAATAATAATAATAATAATAAATACACCAAGATTTCTAAAATTTTAAAAGATTTCATTAATCTCAACCAAGTGTCATTGAATATAAGATTTTATTATTTTTTGATTTTTTTTTAGCTTGATTGTTCATGAGTATGTGTGTATGTGTAGTGTGCGTGGTAAGTTGCCTCTCTTATAACATAAATCAAATAAATGAAAAAATATTTTTTTTCGTATTGTTCACATTTTTTTTAAAGAACAAGGTGAAAAAATTATTTTATAAAAAATTAAATGAGATAAAATTGAAATTTACATGAATATGAAGTATAAATATAATGACTATGAATATGCAATAAAAATATAATGATTAAATTTCATGTGATTTTAAACTAACGGAAAATGTAAGAAAACTTATTGTACACTTTGTAATTCTTGATTTCTATTGGGTCCCTTTGTAATTAGACAAAATTGTCTATTAGCTCAATAAAATCTATTTACTAAAAATAGTAGCAAAAAAATAGGTCAGAATTTAATGCAGCCTATAAATAGTAAATTTATTTTTTTTTCTTTAAAAATCATATAACATTAAATGTTGCCTTAAATTTTGGGCTTTAGTTCATTTTTTTTATTTAAAAAATCTGGTTAAGATTTATTAAGTGTGTATGTTCTTATTTTTATTTTTTTCTTAGAAACAACGAACAACATTAAAATCTCGGTCTCTATATTTATAAAATCTCAATTCAAAATATAACAAAAGTTTTAGAATCTCGGTCTTTATATTTGTGCCTTTAAAAATATTATTGAACGCTAAAAATATTCTTTAAATTACATAATCAATCAATTAATCTTAATTTTTTAAAAATTACTATGTTTATTTTTTATTAATATGCATAAAGTAAAAATAATGAATTCATCTTTAGATATATAATTTATAATATTAATATACTATCATTTGGTGTAAACATTTATTATATGAATCATAAAAAAAAATTATTTCATAAAATTAAATATATTTAAAGAAAATAAGAAAATTTCTTTAAATCAATCGGGTGATGAATTAGGGTACTGCCCATGTTGATTGAATTACTTTTAGATAATATTTAAAATAGTAAACAAACTTGACACAACTTAGTTCGTCATAGGTGACTAAGTTATGTATCAGTTCGACCACACCAAATCGATTATTGAACCTAAATATAAATTTTATATTGAAAATATTTTATTACGTGAATGTGATATAATCCAAACTTTAAATAATCGTATTAACAATATTATGACAACATGTTTAATGATTTATGAATATTTATATATCATTTTATTAATAGTTATGTGAACTAAATAGTATTTATCAATGTACAGTAAATATAAGGTTTTAAGAACTGGACCGTCATCGAAACGATCAAGCTATTTTATTAAATCATTTGTGGTTTATTCAAATTTTAATATATATATATATATGTATAATACTTTTTGTAATAAATTTAAATAAAATGTGTTACTTAGATATCTAAACAATTTAAACTAATTGATAAATAATTTATAAATCGCTATTTTATTTAAAATAGTTTTAAATATAACAAAATTTATGTAGAAAATCGTATCGATCCTACCAGTCCAACCGACTGGTGTTGACGGATTTGAGAGTAAATATTTTATTCAAGTGAACAAGACTGGTTATAAACCGGTTCTCGGTCTATCGGTCGGATTGTGTCCAACCCGGTTTAATTTAAAAACAATGGATAAATCATGATTAATGTTATTTATATATTTAATTTATAATACAATCGTAATATTGTTTTCCCGTGCATGGCACGGGCCACGCACTAGTTAAACAAACACATAGAAATCAATATACTATAGTTCTTATTAACCATATCTTAAAAACACAAAACAAATAAACAGCTACAAGCCATATATGCTTTCACAAACCAACTCCAAGGAAGAAGAACTTCAACAAACTTTCATTTTTTGAATTCTAACATAGGTACCAATTCATCCAAATCCTGCAAAATCCCTAACTGTAAAACCAACTTTCTCAAACCTACCCTTTTCATTACTCTCCCTAAACCTCAAGTACTCCGAACAAACGAATGGCCGATAAACCTTCGTATTGTCTCGACCGACGACATCATCGGGCGATTGTATCACCTTCTCATCCTCGAAGCACCAAAAGAAAGCCAACGATAAACGGTTCGTGGGCTTTTTCAAAACGACCCTATGCTCGGACGATCTTAGTCGTTCGTTGCTCCACGCTTGCAACATGTCGCCTATATTCACGACTAGAGTTCCTTCACAAGGGACTAAGTCCATCCATTTCCCTTCTCTCGATCTCACTTGAAGACCTCCGATTTCGTCTTGGTAAACGATCGTTAAGCAACTCATGTCGGTGTGCATTCCGAGTCCCTCGACTTCTTCTTCTACTTGCTCTTGAATGTTCTTCGGAGGGGTGTAGTTGTTTATCCTCAAGTATCCATGGCAATTTTTGAATTCGGGTTCGTAATATTTCGTCTCGAAACCATCTCCAAGGATCATTAGTAGGATTTTGAGGATGGTTTTGGATAGTTCTATCATTTTACTGCCATATTCTTGCAATACTTCACTGCAAAACAATTTTTAAGAAAAAAATGAAGAGAAAGGAGAATCATCCTTAAGATTTATGCCTAGTGACACACACACACAAAAAAAAAAATACTTAGACTGAAATCATAAAGCTTTGTTTTTAAAACCTCAAGACAGAGAAAACAGAGAAACCAAACTAGATTACATGATCAAGAACTACTAAAGATCTCTTTATATACACACATACACATACATACACAAAATGCACAAATCATTACCTAAACTCCTTATCATGTTTGCCAAGAACATCAAGAGAACTCTTGACAGAGTCATCAAAATCCGGTCCCGACACTCTAATGCTCTCGAAATATGGAGAGGCGATAAAGCGAGGCGTGTAACTCTTTAATGAAGAGAAAGGGCCTAATTTGAGCATTGTCTCGGGAGGAAGACCAAACATCTCGTTCGAGAGAGAGTAGATTTTCGCGTAAACCTCCTTCGTGATTCCATGATTGATAATCTGAAAAAATCCCCATTCTTTGCAAGCTTCGGCTAGACATGGTAAACAAGACGGGTCGAATGGTTTAGAGACATCTAAGATTGGGAGATGTAAGGGATTTTCAGATTCAAAAACCATTTTTTTTCTTTCTTATATATATTGGCAATTGATCAAATGAGTTGAATGATATAGGAAATAGTATAGATGCACTTCTTTTTGCTTGTTTTGCTTGCAAATGCACATATTTAAGTCTGAAGTCACCTTATAATGCAGGAACACTTGCAGCACAAGTGTGTATAAAGAAAATTTGGTAGTATGACTTGTAAAAGCACACAAGTTTGCATATACTTTATTATTATTTTTTTTATATAAATTGTGACATCTATGTAATTTCATGAGTAGCCATCATATAAAATGGGACATTTGGAGAGATGTGGGCCATAGCCTTTGCAATAGTCGAACATATAATGAGATATCTTTTGATCCACTTAGTAATGTCAAACATGTATATTATTAATTAAATGTTGGCATGGGAAAAATATATATATATATATATATATAAAGAAAGAGGGAAAAAGGTAAATGTTGCCATGTGCTCCAGCAAGTGCATTACTATTTTCATGTTTTTTTATAATAATTTTTGATGTGGTGTTGTTAACTACCAAAAATTGAAGCTCTTGTGAAAGTGACTTTCATTAGGCAACATTTGGTAGGTCAATTGATAATCACATTGGAATTCTATATGGTTTTTATTGACTATTATAAGGTTTTACATTTATCAAACAACTAATAACATTTAGGAGAAACTAGTATTCAACTCCGTGCATTTGCACATATGTAAATAAATATTACTATAAGTTATTTGTATGCATATAATATTAAAATTAAAATTATAAGTAAGTATAGAGTATTATAAGTTATATTCTTGTATATAATAATAAAATTATAAGTTAGATAATAGTATTATGTTTTAAAATTTGATCATTGGTTAAAATAAATAGTACATAACGATTTGATTGCATACGAATCACTATATTGGTTGTATAAAATATAATAAATAACGTAATTTTTGTAATTTTGAGGGATCATGGTCAATTAATAGTTGAAAAATATTAAATTATTATAACAATTATTTATACAATTTAAAATATTTTACTGTGACATTCAAATAAATTAATTTATTTTAAATATAATCACTTAATCAGATAATAAAGATATAATATTGATTTAAAATAAATAATTTGAACAAAAAGTTTTTGTAATATAATCTTTTATATTTATGTATCTTTCATATATCATTTTAGTGTAAAAATATAATTACTAATTTTATAATAACTATTATACGATTCAATAAAAAATATAATTATTACTCAATTAATAAAAAATGTAACGGTTTTAATGTAAAAGTTTTTGCCTTAATTAACCAAAAAAAGATCCTATTGAAATATTTTATCATTAATGGGATAGGGTAGATTAATGTCACGTAGATAAAATTTATTAGGTTTTATTTAATTATTTGCCACATAGATAAATTTATTAGATTTTATTTGTTAAGTGTTATTTAATGACTTGCTCGCAATTATATATATATAGATTGTGTCTAATGAAGTGGAATGTTGATGTGGCGTTTCTTCAAACTAGTTTTACCCTGTGCGTTTGCACGAAAAGTGATATAATAGAAGAGATAATAATTAAAAATATAGAATAAAATAAAATTCATAGCTTAATAAATGAGAAAAAAATAATTTAAAAAAGTGAATCTAAATATTATTAAACACTTATTTATATACAACACTCGTGGTTTTCCTATCGTCGGAATCCCCATAACAACAAATTAAACCTCTTCGACTCCTGGAATTTGATTTTTTAAAATATTTGATGTATCTTTGTAATATCCGAAAAAATATTTTTTATTATTATATGACTGCAATAGAATTTTTAATAGAGATATTTGTAGTCATTTTTAATTAATTATGAAATATGTGTTTATATAATACCAAAAAATATATAGTATGAAAATAAAAATAAAAATATTTTTGTATTCATGACATAAAAAGGCGTTACAGAAATGGACACCATCTAAAATGAGATCTTTGAAAATAAATTGTATAACTGAAAGTTACATATTATTGTTAAATGGTGAACATATCTTTATTAAATGAATACCTATTTTTATTAAATGAACTCATATTATTATTAATTGTTGGCTGAATAAAATTTATTGAAGTTTGCTAGCAATTATAGATATATAGATTATATGATTAAAATGCAAAAACTAATTTATTATGACTAATAAGTAGAACTAAAAAAATTTTCTAAATGAAAAAAAAATATATTAGAAGATAGGCTCTAAAGACTACCTCCCATGTATAAAAGAAGAATGTCAATTTCATGCAGACCACATTTATTCCATCTTCATTCTTGAAGATGCAAATTCAACAAAATAATAAATAAGTTAATAATAAATTTATTGGTTCTCCTAAGTCAAATTAACCATTAGGCGGATATATATTTTCTTTACAAATTTGTATACTTTTATTAAAAGAATATAATATTTTAAAATAAAATGTATAATATTTCATTAATGTAGTACTAATATTATTTTTCATTGGGAATCAATTCCGTAACAATACATGACATGAAACAATGATAACAATCAATTTTCTTATCATTAAAAACTATCCTGATCTCCAAACTTTATGATGTCAGCTGTGACTCGCTCTATGAGTGCACACAAGCTGTTCGATAAATTGCCCAAGAGAAACCCACCTAACTCCAAAACCGGCGACTGCATTCATCGAAATCGCCCGATTTTAGTGGACCCTTTTGAGCATTTCGCAGAGAACGACGTCGTGAGATCCTGGACGTCGAGAATATCGAGCTTGGTCAGGCAAAATCGGCCCAAAGAGGCCGTACGTCTGTTCAATTCGATGCTCGCGAGCGGCGAAAGGCCGAATTTTGTCACGGTCCTGAGCGCGATAAAAGCGGCTTCTTCTCTCGAGCGGATAATATTGGCCCGCGGGCTTCACGGGTTCTCGGTGAAAACGGGCTTAGTTAAGTCGCAGGTGACTGTTGTGACGGCCCTCGTCGGCGTTTACTCTTCTTGGGATATGAGGAGTACGTGGAAATTATATCTTGAGACGGCAAATAAAGATGTGGTTTTGTGCAGTGCTATGGTTTCGGCATGTGTCGCCCAAGGGGACTATTTGGGGGCATTTAAGCTGTTAAAGGAGATGTCTTTTTCGAACGTGCGGCCAAATCATGTGACGATTTCAAGCGTGCTTCCTGCTTGTGCTGACATGGCTGCATTGTACATCGGGAAAGAAATTCACGGTTATGTTATTAGAAATTTGCTTTTTGTTCATACGGTTTGTGGGAATTCGCTTTTGGATATGTATTCGAAATGTGGATGTTTGGAGGCTGCGCTTAAGGTTTTCGAGCTTATGGAGAGTAAAGATATTGTTTCTTGGAGGATAATTGTACGTGGCTGTATTGAGAACAATAGTTTGGGAAAGGCTTTGGAGATTTTCACAAGATTGCGAGCTTGTGGTGAGGAAAAGGTGGATGAATGTATAATCCAAGAAATAATCGGAGCTCATTCACTTTTCGGTAAGAATTATAATATTCACGGCTTTCATAGTCTTTTGATGAAAATGGGATTGACTGCATATATTCCCTTAATGACTGATCTTCTCCAAGCATATGCTCGATATGGTGATATCGCCTCGTCTAGGAAAATATTTGATACTCTTGAATTTAAAGATGTTATTGCTTGGAGTGCCATGATTTCAGTTTATGCTCAAAGCACGCAGCCTGATAAAGTGTGTGATATATTACAGCAGATGCAACTGGCTGACGAGAAGCCTAATGAGTTTACTTTTGTTAGTTTATTGCTCGCTTGTACTTCACTCGATGCTATGTACAGTGGCGAAAGCATACATGCACAGATAACGAAAAAAGGGTACTTAACCAACACGTTTTTGACATCGGCCCTGATTGATATGTACTGCAAATTCGGTAGAACAGAACAAGGGAAGTCAGTTTTTGATGAAAATAACAATAATAAAAAAGATTTGATTTGTTGGAGTTCGATGATAAATGGATATGCAGTCAACGGCTGTGGTGAGGAGGTTCTCGAGTGTTTTTCGAAAATGTTGTCTTTTGGTATAGAACCTAACGATGTTATTTTCATATCTGTTTTATCTGCGTGTAGCCATTGTGGATTCGAGTATGAAGGTTGGAGTTGGTTTAATGCAATGGAAAGGATTTATGGTATTAAGCCAAAACTCGCGCATTATGCTTGCATGGTAGATTTGCTTAGCCGTCAAGGGAATATTGAGGAGGCTCTCGAATTTGCAAATAATATGCCGATCGAGCCTGATAAGCGGATATGGGGAGCTATTCTTGCTGGATGCAAAAATGTTGATGGGGCTAATGAGAATTTGGAATTTGTTTCGAAGAAACTTATTGATCTCGACCCAGAGAATATGAGCAATTATGTGGTACTCTCTAACTTGTATGCGGATAAGGGTCGATGGGATGAGGTTGAGAAGTTGAGAGATTTTGTTGATCGAAAATCGTTGAGGAAACTTGTGGGTTATAGCGCGATTTGAGCTGTTTTTTTTTTCGACATTCGTGTTGAAATTCATATCTCGAAGGTATACAATATTGTTTTTTCATATGAATTCAACTTTCTTGTTTTTTGGTTTTTATAGTTAATTGAAACTTGAAGCATTGTTAAATTGTTTATGGATATGGAAAGGAAACTTTGAGATGAGTGCTTATCTTGCGTTTTTATCTGTAGTCAATAAGTTGCAATAGATATGATTTTTTTTATGGTAAGATTTCGTATTTGTATACAGATATGAGAATATTTTTGTCTTTGGCTTATATTTCTTGAGGATGATGTGATATTTTATGTTCTTTTGCAGCTTTCACAACTGGCCATATCTAATCTCTTTAAATTGTAGCTTCTTGTAACTATCTTATTTAACAAGTATTTTCAATTTATTTTGCCGATAAACTGAAAGGTGCTTCTTGTTTCTGCCGAAGGCATTAGCCAAAAAGAGTATTCTTGGTTGAAACATCTCGTTTTTTGGGATTAGTTTCGGTTTTCGCTACATTATCAATTTTAATTTTGTGCTACAGATAATTAATAACACCAAACTGAGCTGTGTCCAGAAAAATATAACTTTTCGCTAATTAATTACATGAGTACATGTTATAGATAATTGCAAGAAACACCTCTATGATTTACCATAATACAAAACTACCCTGAGGTTGCTCTTTACCTGACAATAACCTCTCTTGAGGATTCAATTTTCTAAAGTGAAAAAAAGGGTGCATGGGATTTTATATATTTTGATTAAACATTAATGTTACGGGTGATTTTTGTTGTTAAGATTTTGTTCTGACACTTTCTTTGACAATATTTCTGGCTCCTGCAGGAAATTTGGATAAAATCTACTGGAATGAAAAGTTCATATTCCAATATCTGATGTCCGGATTAGACATTGTGAAGGAAATTTGGATAAAATCTGCAGGAAATTTGTGTTCATATGTAAGAGTTTAACCAAAATCTTCCTCTCTTTTTTCACATGTTCGTCGTGTTCGTTTTATCATTTTCTGAATCTCACAAGTTAATTATCATGTTTGATTTTTCGGATTTTTCATTGAAGGAAAGGGAGATCGATTGTTCAAGGTTGATGCAATTGAATCCAACAACAACAACAACAACAACAACAACATAGCCTTTAGTCCCAAGCAAGTCGGGGTAGGCAATTGAATCCAACAATTGGATTGAAATTCATTCCAAATGTAAGTTTTTTTTTTTTTCTTTCCTTTTTTACCTGCCCTTCCTTTCTGGGCTATAATAATAACACTTTAACATCTATCTGAAAAATGCTTTAATTTCTTAATCCATTTGTCAATTTTCACAGACAGTTTAACATACGAAAAGAGAAGAGAACGAACAAAACAGAAACAATGAAGGCAAATCCGATGATTATGAGTCTCTGGAAAATGCATTGGCTGAAGCTCTTTATCTAACTTCAAGAGCAGAAAGTTTGTCAATAAGCATAAAAACGGCTGAGAAGATAAATCATATTGGGTAATTCATGTAATTTGGTATGCGAGTCAATTTCTTCGGTTGTTAGAGTTATTGTATGGCATTTTGTTCCTTGATTTATTTATTTATTATTTATTTATTTAGCTTGTTGCCTTGGCGGGAACTAAACAGGGTAGCTTATTAGAGCTGCATATGACAGTGAAAGCCAGTGAAAGTTTGTCAAAATAAGAAGTCGGTGCATGTTCTTTTTAATCCAGCTGACCAGTTCGTGTACATATGATTATATTATGATCCTTGAATTTTGTTCACA